CCCGCAGCGCAGCACCCCGGGGCCCCCGAGGCCTCAGGTCCCCCCGCCCCACACGCACGCCCATTCCCACTCGCCCGCCTTCTCCCTCTCCCCAGCAACCACTCACCTCCCCCGGGAGCGTCAGCTCCTCCCGCGACTCCAGTGTGCCGGGCTCTCCCTCCAGCATCGTGGTGAGTACCCCGTGGCCACCAGCACCCCAGCCTGGGGGGGGCGCTGCTGGGGGGCCTTGCTCAGCCTCCGCTGCCCCACAGCCCTCTGTCTGGCCTCGGGTACTCCGAGTGCCGGGCGAGGGGATGTCCCCTCTAAGTCCCTCCAATAACAGGGAGGTGGCCTTGTCAGCTGCGGGTGCCCGCTCTCTCCCGCTGGCGACGCAGGGGAGGATCCTGCAAGCCCACCCCATCCTCCATGCGCACGTCTCCCTGCAGGCCAAGATGGACAACCAGGTGCTGGGCTACAAGGACCTGGCGGCCATCCCCAAGGACAAGGCCATCCTGGACATCGAGCGGCCTGACCTGATGATCTACGAGCCGCACTTCACCTACTCCCTCCTGGAGCACGTGGAGCTGCCCAGAAGCCGGGAGGTGAGGGCCCCCTCTTGGACAGGGCTCAGGGAGGGCCCCACACGCTGGGCATGCACCAGGTCGTCCCTCGGGGCCCCTTCTTTCCTGGAGGGGCTGCCCAGGAAGCTGCCAGTCAGAGTCTGTGCCAAGGCTAGGTAGAGCCCGAGGCAGGGGAGGCCGTTTGAGTGGTAGGGGCACAGACAGAGGTGGGGTGGGGAGGAGAGGGCGGGAGGGGGCCAAAAGAACCAAATGTCTGGGTGGGCGCAGGTGCTGAAGGGGGAGGCCGAAGTCCAGGCGGAGGGGCCTGGGTGAGGGCAGCCTCCATCTCCCTGCTGTGAGCTAGAGGGGAACCCTAGGCCTGCACCCCACAAAGCAGTCGGAGCACACTGTTAATGCATGGCTTCTGTGGTGTCACGGCCGAGCAGTGAGACAGCCAGACGTGGGAAGACAGAGACCCCAGCCCTGGGTGCCTTTGGCCCATCCCTCCCTTTCATTGCCGGGCTCTGTGGCCAGGCCACAGCTGTTGCTCACTGGGCACACTGCTCCGATCCATGGGCCTCTCTGCTCTGTACGGAAAGGTTAGGACTTTGTGAGGAGGGTCTGGGGACACACTGGGCCAGCCTTGGGATGGTAAGGATCTGAGTGGACGAGGTGGCCCGGACATTGGCCAGGAGGGGCGCTGAGCTGGGTGGGGGTGAGGTGGTCCCTCTGGGGTACAGGTGGCGAGGTCTGGTCCTGCTCTGCGGTTCTGAGTAACCTCCTCTCCCTCCACAGCGCTCTCTGTCACCCAAGTCCACATCCCCTCCGCCGTCCCCAGAGGTGAGTCTTCTCCACACCTGACACTCGCCCCCCTCGCCCACTCAGGGACACCTGTCCAGCCCACACTTGCCCAGCCAAGGGGACAGCAGAGTCAGCGGGCCCAGCCCGTCACCAGCTGGCTGTGTCCTCTCTCTGACCCGGGCTTTCTCCCTGGGCCGGGTGCCATCTGGGTTTCACGTCCTGGCCACACCGTGGCCTGTGGTCTGGGCGGTGGGGGAGCACTAGGTGGGAGGATCCAGGAGGGGGAGCAAGGTGAAGCGATGGTTCCTGAGTTGGCAGGGAGGGTGGGGCCCAGGAGCAGCGGCGAGGCCACCTCTGCTCTGCAGGTGTGGTCGGAGAGCAGATCCCCCGGACTCATCTCTCAGACTTCGGCCCCAAGAACCACCGGCACGCCCCGGACCAGCCTGCCCCACTTCCACCATCCCGGTAGGCGCCATGGCAGCCTGGCTGCGGGTTGGGTTAGGGACCTCTCCTGCAGGAGCCCCTCTGGCCCCTGCCCTGCTCGCTGCAGCGCTGTGAGCCCCGCCATGTCGGGACCCCAGCAGAGACCCCAGAGAGGGGGCCTGTCACCCTTCTCACATAACCAGGAAAGGGCAGAGTGTCCAGGGGTCGGCCTGCGGCTGCATCACTCTTGCCTCTGGAAGGGTGAATTTCCTACTTGTGGCGTCCCGCCCCGTTAGTGTCGGTGTTCTTCCCAGGCCAGCTGTCCCTGTGTCCCTTGCTGTCCCTGTAGCCCTCTCCTCTGATGCTCTGGCTCCTTTTGCAGAGACCACCCGCCCGGATTCCAACATCTACAAGAAGCCGCCCATCTACAGGCAGAGAGGTGAGGGTCTCCCTGACTTACTCCTCCCCATGCTGCGGGCTGCGTGCGGGGCTGGGAGATTAATGGCAACCGCCCTGCGCTCGCTGGGACCCTACATCCGGGACTGCCCAGGTGTGAGGGGGCGGGGCCGGGAACTGAGCTGGGAGGGGCGCGGAGGGGGCGTGCCCTGGGCTGACCCCGCCTCCCTCCGCAGAGCCCGCCGGGGGCAGCCCGCAGAGCAAGCACCTCATCGAGGACCTCATCATCGAGTCGTCCAAGTTCCCCGCAGCCCAGCCCCCGGACCCCAACCAGCCGGCCAAGATCGAAACCGACTACTGGCCCTGCCCCCCGTCGCTGGCCGTCGTGGGTAGGAGAACCGAGGCCACCCTCAGCCCTGTTCAAGCCCTGGAGCCCACTCTCCCCGACATGCCCTGGGGTCCCGCGTAGGCGGCTCCTGCCAGTCTCTGGCCCAGGGCCCTTAAACTCGGGCTCTGCCCGGCTCTGGTGGGAGCCCTGGGAGGACAGTGCGATGGGCTGGCGTCTGTCTCCCCGGGCCTGTAATCTGTGGACAGGGTCCTGCCCAGCGTGGTAGCAAGGCAAGGAACCGTTATTTGATTTTATTTGGCCATAGGTCATGTGCGCTTTCCAGAGAGACAGACAGTGAGGGACAGGCAGGGAAAGTGAGAAACCATCCCCGGACGGCCACATCCCAACCCCTTCTTCCCCATCCTCCCAGGATTCGGGCACGCACACACACCTGCACGGCCTGATCCTCGGGCCTCGGTTCTGGGGCTCGCGCTGCTGCCGGCCACGTGGGCGTCCCGTGCCTTAGCCACTGCGCCACCTGCTGGTCCCGTTATTTGACTTTTAAAGCAGCCGGCACTCCGCGCAGTGCGCGCCCTCCGCGCCCTCCGCGCCCTCCGCCAGGCGGGAGGGGTGCAGGCTGAGCGGGCGGACTGACGGCTCTGCCCGCTTCTCCTGTGGCCCTAGAGACAGAGTGGAGGAAGCGCAAGGCGTCCCGGAGGGGGGCTGAGGAAGAGGAGGAGGAGGACGACGACGACTCCGGAGAGGAGATGAAGGCTCTCAGGGAGCGTCAGAAAGAGGAACTCAGCAAGGTAGGACGAGCTATGCCCTCCACCCCCGCATCTCCCTGGGGGAGCTCTGGTTCCATGACTAGTCCAAAGGGGTTCAAGCCTCAGATATCCCGGATAGAACACGTGAGGAACCTCACTTCTTTTCTCTTTTTTAAACATTTTTTTTTATTTGACTTTATTTATTTATTTATTTATTGGAGAGGTTTTTGCTATAGGGCGCATGCGCTCGCCAGACAGACAGAGAGAGACAGAGAGACAGAAAGCGAGAAATCACCCCCCAGGGGGGATGGCCACGCCGCAATCCCTTCTCCTCCATTCTCCTCTCGGGATCTTGGGCACGCACGCACACGCGCCCGGCGTGAGTTTTAAGCCACCAGGTCCGGGACGCGAACCACGGTCGACTACGTGGGAGTCCAGCGACATAGCCATTACACTAACTGCTGGTCCCTTTATTTATTTATTTTTAAATTTGACCAGAGAGGGACAGAGCAAGAGAGAAAGAGAAAAAGATATAGCGAGAAAGCAAGCCGCCAGGTCCGGGCCTAGCAAGCCGCCAGGTCCGGGACTCGAAACACAGTCAGCCATGTGGGAGTCCGGCATCCTTCACCACACCACCCACTGGCCCCAGAAACCTCATTTCCTCCCTGGGGCTTCAGGCTACTGCCTTTCTTTCTTTCTTTTTTTTTTAAAGAGAGAGATTTTTGCTATAGGACACATGCACTTACCGTAGAGACAGAGAAAGAGAAACAGAGACAGAAAGCGAGAAATCACCCCTCGGGATGTCCACACTCCAACCCCTTTGCCTCCATTCTCCTCTTGGGATTTTGGGCATGCACGTACATGCATCTGGCATGAGTTTCAAGCCTCTGGGTCTGGGACTTGAACTGTGATCAACCAGGTGGGAGTCCAGCGATGTAACCACTATGCCATCTGCTGGTTGGTCCCCAGGCTCCTGCCTTTTAAGGGGCCCCTGGACCTCATGCTACTTTTGGGGAGACACCACTTGATATTAGAGTCAAAGCTCAGAGGAGGGTGGTCCCGTAGTGTGGGGTGCCAGCAGGCCCAGTAGTTCAGGAGAAGAGTGGAAAGGAGGGTGGCCACTGGTCTTCAGGGCAGGAGGCTCAGAGCCACGGGAGGGCCGCAGCTGGTGGCCTGGGATAGGCAGGCTCCAGGTGACCGAGCTCAAGGCCCAGAGGCTGGCTGGGCTCCAGAGCAGACCAGCCACCTGGGGAGACGTCCCTCGTCAGCCTGAGTGTGACTCTCGGCGTTTTGGAGGTGAGCACCCGTGTCTGAGTCTCAGACTTTCCTCACTCAGGTCACTTCCAACTTGGGGAAGATGATCCTGAAGGAGGAGATGGAAAAGTCCTTGCCTATCCGGAGGAAAACTCGCTCCCTGCCCGACCGGACCCCCTTTCACACCTGTGAGTACCGCGGAGGCCGGACCGTCCACACACCAGCGGAGTGGTGGGTGGAGAGAGGGCGTGTGGGGTTCCCTGTCCTTAGGACAAGAGGACAGTTGTGGAGGGAGTGCCTTCAGCTGAAGCAGACGTGGCAGAGTCGGTCCAGTCTGACAGGGTTTATTGGGGTCTGCTGTGGGCAGCCACAGGCCCGCCTCCAGCCCTGTGGTCCGCAGGACGAGGGACATGGAGGCCAGGGCTTGGGGGCACGCGGCAGCTGTTGTGTCGGAGGCTTGTGGAAGGTGCAATGTGAGGACAGTGAGGCGGCCTCACAGGGCTTCAGGGATGAGACAGGGTGGGCTCTGTGGCCTGGTGATTAAGGCAGCGGGATCCCACAGAACAACCGTGCAGTTTGAGTCCCAGGACCCCGACAGCTTGAGAGACACGCTGGGTACATATGCGTGCCCAAAATCGCAAACAGAGGGAAGGCATTGCATGTGACCATTCCCCATGGGGGTGCCTTCTCTCTCTCTTTTTCTGTCTCCCTCTGGCAAGCACACATGCTCTAGCAAAGAGAGAGAGAGAGACCGAGTGAGCCAGACAAGCAGGCGGAGGATGTGGTCCACGCCTCAGGAGCAGAGTGGGCGTGCTGGGTGGCTGAGCTGCCAGGAGCCGGGGGAGCAGCACTAGGGGTGCACACTAGGGGTGCAGCAGCAGGAAGGGGGCTGGAGTGCGGGATGGGCCAGGCTCTGAACACTGCCCCCGAGCCGCCTGGCCCCGTCACAGCGTGGTGGCCGCAGCAGAGGGAGAGGACCCAGAAGTGGGAGCCCGCGCTGTATGCGGCTGGTCAGAGTGGGTTGCCTGTCGGCCTCAACTGGGAAGGGAGGGGGGGAAGGGAGGATAGACTACTCCCCCTGCGAGGAACCGCACCGCAGAGACGCTGGGGGCCAGCCGTGCACAGCCGCAGTGCACAGCTGCACGACCCAGACGCCACAGGGGCAGGTCCCGGGGGGTTCCATCTCCAGGTCTTCCCTACGTAGGTGCCAGCCATGCTCACGGGTGCCCACAATCCCAGCTGTTGGGGGCTGGGGGCAATCGTGGCATGAAGACTGCGTTGGGGTGCCTCTCTCTCAAAATAAACTAAAAAAAAAAAAAGAGAGAGAGGATCCAGCTGAGGTTGGCTGAAGGCGCTGGGGAAGACAGCCAGCCTCGGGTGTGCGAGGCTGACCTGCAAAGGCCTGGCTGCAGAGGGCTGGGGACGCAGAGCAGAGCAGCACCGATGAAAGGTGGCCCGAGGTGGCGCTCAAGGACTGGGGCTCGGGACGGAGCGGACGTGCGGCGTGCGGCATGACGTCACCGCCTCATGGCGCGCGCCCGGCACTGTTTCAGTGTGAGCCGGCAGAGTTCCAGAAGGCTCTTAGGAGAATGGAGAGTCAGTAGTAAAGGCTGAAGGAAGAGCTGGGTAGAGGGATGCCCCGAAGGCTGGGTTCAGTCCGAGCACTCTCGTGGGTGCCAGTTCCGCGTTGGCCTCGTAAGGCTCAGCCGGTGCCACCGCCGCGCCGCATTTTCTCCGCCCAGGCCTTGGGCGGCCGGCGGGCACGCGAGTGCCTGGGCTCCTGCCGCATCTCACCCATCCTAGTGACTTCAGACCCGATTTCATGGCCACATCGGGGAAATCGCGTTCAGACAGAAGCATTGTAGGAGTTATGTGTTGTGAAAACGTCCGTGCGTGCTTTGAGGGTTGAAATCCTGAGGCAGCTGGAGTATAGAGGGGGACTTACTCCAGGACTGAAATGCCTCAGTGAGGAATGGCGACCTTGGCACGATCATTTTCTGAACAGAAGTAAGCACTAGCTGGGAAAATGAGGTCCTTCTAAGCGGTTTTGTTCTCACCAGCTGAACTTGCAGCCAGCAGAGTTTAATGGGCTTTTGGGTAAGACAGGCAGCTCCCGCATGGCAAAGCCCCTTATGTCCCAGACCCAGCAGCTTGGGAAACGCGCTGCGTGTGTGGCGGTGTGCCCAAGGCCCCCGCAGAGGGCAAGGTGTAGAAGAGACCACGGCGTGACCGGTTCCCATGGGGGTCCTCTCCCTTCCCTCTCCCTCTCTTTGTTTTTCTCTGGCGAGTACACACACCATCTAAAAAAAAAGTTTTTTAAAAAACAAATATTTTAAGAAGAGTTCCTTGGGGCCAGCTGGTGGTGTAGTTAGGGCAACTGAATCCAATGTGGCTGACTGTGTGGTTCAAGTCCTGGACCCAGCAGCTTGAAAAACACACTGGGTACATGCACATGCCCAAAACACCACGAGGAGAAATAGAGGAGAGATTATGGTGTGGACACCCCAATGGACGGTGCTTGCTCACTTCCCCTCCCTCTAGGTCTCTGCTGCGTTAACCAGCATGCCACCAATTGGCCCTAACTCTGTTTTAACACCGGGCACTTGGCCCAGCCCTGAGTTTGGTGCCTTTCTAGTCACAGAGGGAATGTGTTACAGACAGCTCAGTCACCAGCCCTGTGTCCCTTGCCACAGCAACTAGTAGGAGCTGAAAGCCAGCAGAAGCCTTCGGCAACCCCAGTGTCCCCCTTTACTGCCCCACCCCGGCAGGGCCGCGAGGGGGCCTCTCAGGAAGGAGGGCTGCAGGGCTGAGCCCTCTTCTGTCTTCTGTCTTCCAGCCCTGCACCAGGGAACCTCCAAGTCGTCTTCGCTCCCCGCCTACGGCAGGACCACCCTGAGCCGGGTAGGTCGCAGGGCCAGAGACAGGCTGCACGGAGAGGCGTGCACATGGGGTGCTCGGAGTGCCTGGCCACTGGGCGTCCTCAGGGGCAGAGCCCTCGTGGTGGTGGGGCCCAGTGGGGACTTCCCCAGCTCCCTCTGAGCCCTTCATGTCTTTCCTAGCTGCAGTCCACAGAGTTCAGCCCATCGGGGAGTGAAGCCGGAAGCCCAGGTGAGCAGTGGGCCCACCTGGTGCCGGGAGGGCTGGGGAAGGGGCTCGTGCAGGTGCCCTGGGCAGCCTGTATCTGTGCCAGGTGTGTGGGGGGCTGCGTCTGAGCTCGACCCTTCTCTCCCGCAGGCCTGCAGGTGAGCCCTCCTGGAAGAGAGCAGGTGGAGCCAGGAGCCAGGGCCAGGCCACGGAAGGGGGGGTGGGGAGTGGGCAACGGAGCTGCTTACGGAGGCGCAGCGAGAAGCTGGGGTAAGGCCGGGACGGTCTCCCTGCCCCGCTCTGGCTCACTGCGGCTTTGGTCTCCCCAGAACGGAGAGGGCCAGAGGGGGAGGCTGGACCGGGGGACCTCCCTGCCCTGTGTGCTGGAGCAGAAGGTGAGGGGCAGGGGACCCCCCACAGCAGGGCGGGTGGCTGGGGAGAGGCCAGGTGAGCTGGGCACGCCATGGGGTCCTCCTGGAGTCGGTGATGGGAGGGACAGCCGGTCATGGGGGTGGACGGCAAGGTGGCATGAACCCCAGCAGCCTCTGCAGGTTGGGG